CCCCGCTGAGCATAGAGCCCAAGGCAAGGCTCGATCTCACAACCCCAAGATCATAAGCTGAGCTGAAATCAAGAGTTGGATGCTTAACTGACTGTGCCATCAGGCGCCCTGAAAATTTAAGTAGTTTTAAATAAAATCTCAAAAAGCCCGTTTCTGCCTGTGGTCTTGCCGGCATCACCATCCTCTATTATTTGTAGAGTAATATCTAAGGTACTAGGTACTGTGGCTTGTATTATAGCTTGGTGTTCTTTTGGAGGTAGATTTGTGGGGTTTTTCTTTTCAAATAATCGTGTGTCTGTTGATACTATCTGAAGCTATCATATGAACTTAACACTAAAAGGAAAATACCTACGTCAAGAAAAAAAGAAAGAAGGCCTGTAGGATTTTTATACAACCCTGATTTATCTAATAAAAATGTTTCATTTTGAAACACATCTAGTCCTTTTTTTTTTAAGACTTTATTTATTTGAGAGAGAGAGAGAGAGAGTGAGCACAAGCCAGGGAGAGGGGCAGAGGGAGGGGGAGAAGCAGGCTCCCCACAGAGCAGGGAGCCCGATGCGGGGGTCGATCCCAGAACCCCAAGATCATGACCTGAACCGAAGGCAGCCGCTTAACAGACTGAGCCACCCAAGCTTCCTGAAACACATCTATTCTTCATAAAGCTCACTTAAAACGAAGAACTATGAATTTATTATGGGATATTACTTTAATCTAAAGTGGAACAAGATGGATCTTTTGAAAGAGAGCTTTCTAAAGCTTTACATAACATTGTGATTTTTTAAATTTTTTTTCAAATTTTATTATGTTATGTTAGTCACCATACATCATTAGTTTTTGATGTAGTGATCCACGCTTCATTGTTTTCATATAACACCCAGTGCTCCATGCAGTACGTGCCCTCCTTAATACCCATCACCGGGCTAACCCATCCTCCCACCCCCATCCCCTCTAACACCCTCAGTTTGTTTCTCAGAGTCCATAGTCTCTCATGGTTCATCTCTCCCTCCAATTCCCCCCCTTCATTTTTCCCTTCCTTCTCATGTCCCTTCATGCTATTCCTTATGTTCCACAAATAAGTGAAACCATATGATAATTGACTTTCTCTGCTTGACTTATTTCACTTAGCATAATCTCCTCCAGTCCCATCCATGTTGATGTCAAAGTTGGGTATTCATCCTTTCTGATGGCTGAGTAATATTCCATTGTATATATGGACCACATCTTCTTTATCCATTCATCTGTGGAAGGGCATCTCGGCTCTTTCCACAGTTTGGCTATTGCGGACATTGCTGCTATGAACATTGGGGTGCTATGGCCCTTCTTTTCACTACATCTGTGTCTTTGGGGTAAATACCCAGGAGTGCAATTGCTGGGTCATAGGGTAGCTCTATTTTTAATTTTTTGAGGCACCTCCACATAACATTGTGATTTAAATAACTTTTTAAACCCATGGTTCGATAGAGCAATAGAGATAAAAGTTGGCAGAAAAAAGAGCAGTGAGCAGCTTGAAAAGGAAAACAAGCTAAAAAGTTTTCAGAAATAAGGAAGGACTTCTGTTTAAGCTGAAAACACCAATGTGAACTCATGATGTGGAAAATATTTAAAACTATTTTTCTTTACCCTGACCCTAAATGGGCCCAAACAAGCTCTGGTATCATCCTGCCCACAGACAGTATGTGTCTGCACACCCAGCTGCTACTGTCTAGTACTATTTGTCCCTGAAAGGAACCAGCGCTGCCAAGGCAGTGGCTGACTCCAAGTCTTGGAGCAGGGACAAAAACAAAATCCGTCAAAACATAATATTACCAAGAAGCACAGATGCCTTCCAAGATGTTCTCGCTAGTGCTAAGAAGGAAAAGGAAAAACTTGACAGGCCCTCTGATGGCCACATTATGAGAATTTGAGCCTCTGGCACCATCACCTCCACCATGAAGTAGATGAAATTAGCTAAGTCCAAAAAAGGCATAAATCCCTATGTCCACAATGATGCTGTGTATGAAGACAGGCATGCAGAACATACTGTTGGCAGAAAACGCGTTCTACTGATCGACCCACTCAAGGTTTGGATACCATCTAAGGATATAATTCATTTCTTCCCTCTTTTTGTGTAAAAAGAACAGTGTCAGCAAATTGTGACTGGCACCTTTTTTACTAAAAGAAGTCAAAAGCTCCAGGAACCTTTGGTAAAAGATAAACTTTACATATGGAACATGCAATTATCATTTGATGTTTTAATTTTGCTGTCAAGGACACTAAGATGTATACATCTCAACTTAAATATGTTAATGGGGCTAGGACTGTATCTTACCATGACCAGTCATTTCTGTCCCCTGGGAGGTTCATCAGGACAGGCAATCTAAAATTTACACAAATATACTTTATAGAGACCTTGTTTTTATTTATTTTTTTTAAAAAGATTTTATTTATTTATTTGAGAGAGAGAATGAGATAGAGAGAGCATGAGAAGGGGGAGGGTCAGAGGGAGAAGCAGACTCCCCGCCGAGCAGGGAGCCCGATGCGGGACTCGATCCCGGGACTCCAGGATCATGACCTGAGCCGAAGGCAGACGCTTAACCAACTGAGCCACCCAGGTGCCCCGAGACCTTGTTTTTAAAAAGTACATTATTTATTTAAAAACTTTGTCTCTAGGTTTTTTATTTAGAAAGAGGTATTAAATCTTTCTGTATCTTATTCCTCTCTCAAAAAAAATCCACATTAAGTGTCTGTTTGCTTGTTTTGTTTATTTTATTGAAGTATAGCTAAACAGGAAAAAGTTTCCCTCTGCTGTGTTAAGGGCCATTCACTGTAATCTAGTCCAAGTCATTAGGGCTCCCTTGCCTCTATCCTAGTATTCTACTGCTAACAAAAGCACCCAGGATCGAGCAAGAAGAGGGAATGTCTTACCTGACATCAGTCTTAAAGTTTTTATTAGCCATCTGTGACTCTTACTTAGAAATTTCACAAATCCTTCTTGAACTCACATAAACAGTGAATACCTATACCATTACTTGAAGTTAATTAAGTCCCACAGTTACCTTGTTTTCATTTGTCCAAACTTACCTTTTTTTAAATTTTAATTTCAATTAGCCAACATATAGTACATCATTAGTTTCAGATGTAGTATTCAATAATTCATCAGTTGCATATAACACCCAGTGCTCATCACATCACGGGGTCTCCTTAATGCCCATCACCCGGTTACCCCATCCCTCTACCCGCCTCCCCTCCAGCAACCCTCAGTTTTGTTTCCTGTGGTTAAGAGTCTCTCATGGTTTGGTTCCCTCTCTGATTTCTTCCCATTCAGTTTTCCCTCCCTTCCCTGACTGTCCTTTGCGCTATTTCTTGTATTCCACATATGAGTGAAACCATATGATAATTGTCTTTCTCTGATTGTCCCAAACTTATCTTAAACTTATGAAAGGTTGCCTCTCTTCCTAGAATTTTAGAAGTTCTTGAACAAGCCTGTGCTCAATCTAACCTGGGTCTTTTTAGATGAAGGGCATATTCAGCCTTTTGGCCTCCACTCCTTTACCGGGACTGCCGTCTCTCCTCCCAGTCTAGGGGATCTTCTCTGGCTAGTCCTTAAGATCCATTATGTCCTTTTGAAGATGTGCTTGCCAAAGTTGCACACAGGATTCCTCATGAGGAAATGCCCTAGATTTACATAAAGGTATGATAACCATTGCTGGTCTTCAATAACTCATCGATGTCCAATGTTGTGTTGGGATCTTTGTCCTCATTAGAGTACAAAGCTGTTGTTCCCTATACCCTTAATAATTTACAGGGCCTTTTCAGATTTACAGTTCTGGAATATTTAGAACTCTTTTCAATTCCTTTTAAAGACTCCACTGCCAATTTTAAAATCAGTCTACAACTTGTCACTGTTCAGGAACACAAATGTTTAAAATCTTCCTGTTATCTAGATCTACCACTTGTGGCTCTTCCCTATCTGAAAGATTTTTCATAGGGTTATGTCTCCAGTTCATATATAAAAATGCTAAGTAATTCCAGTCCTAGCATGATATCAAAGACTTGCTCCACCATTTACATTTCTTTATCTATGAAATCACACTTTTATCCCTACCCTTTGTTTCCTCTCTTCTCCCTTCCCCTCTCTTCTCCCAATTCCATGGTGATTTAGCAGAACACTCATTCATTCGTGAAATATTTATTGGCATCTACTCTGTGCTAGGTACAAGAGCAAGGTGTTAAGAATATAACAAAATAAACATAGTGTCCCTGCCCTAAAGAACCTCTAGTGATTCTTTATTTACTTGCCTATTTTACACCTCAGAAACACTAGCTGGGCACAGGTTTTTTTAAACTCATAAATCATTTGCTTTTCTTCTAAAAGAATATTTTTTATGTTCTTGGTTTTAGAATCCAAAGGTTTACCACTGAGGATGGTGAGGATGAAACTGAATCACTTGTACCTTCTCAAATCTTTTTAGGTCTTCACTGCCCAATTCCGTAAGCCACTAGTCCCATGTCTATTTAAATTAATTACAATTAATTACAATTAAATAAGATTAAGAATTCAGTTTCTCATTTGCACTAGCTACATTTCAGGTGCTTAATGGCTAAGGTGGCTAATGGCTACCGTACTGGCAGCATAGATTTAGACCTTTTCCTTCATCACAGAAAGTTCTAGCTGAGAGCACTTCTTGTACAGTTCTTATATAAGGGGTGACACCATGGCCACATATAAAAATAGGTTACACATTTTGGCAAACAATTAATGACTTTTTTATTACTCACATGATGGCACCTGGTGCTAGTAAGTCACTTATATTCTTTTTGTCATTGCAGTCTAAACTATCTTAAATACAGACCACTATTGAATATAGTTTTAATTATGATGTAAGCCAAAAAATCATTTCTTTTTTTAATCTTATTCGCAGCAAAATTCATAACTGGAAATGTATAATGAAGGTATCTAAATAATAGCAATAATGAGATAAATAATCAATTCAGCATGGGAACATCATCAAGAAACTTACCCTCCTTCACTTTCTGCTTCCTCTGAACTATTGCTTGTTCCAGAACTTTGAACTGTGGCAAGCCTTCTTTTTCTAGCTCTGTGCTGAGGACTTATCTTATGAACAGTTATCCTCCCTCCAAGTTCACCTTGTATATATTCCTCCAGCTTTGGAATCGTTTCTTTAAGAACTCTGATTTCCTCTTTGAGTTCTTCCATATTTGTCAGTAATTCGTTTAACTTCTCCAATATCTGAAGCTGCCTTCCTTGAAAGATTGCAGCTGTTCCTTGACCATTACACATTTCATCTTGAAAAGTCACAGAATCAAACTTATTACCCAGAGAAAGAAAGTTAGGTAAATTCAATGTTGTCCTTGATTTACGAACCTTGTGGTACCACAAAAGAAGCAAGCTGATTCCAGTAGTTCCCACCATGATACCAAGTATCAGTTCTTTGTTTGTAGAATGAGGCATTTCTTGGGTTTTGTTTCTAAAATTGAAAGCATAAATGTAAATGAATGTTGTTTCTGTCTTCGCCCAAGACAAAAATATTAAAGCTTTCTCAATCAAGAGAAGTCAAGTCTACATCATAGACACACACACACACGATAAATCATAAACTAAAATTTATAAATAAGTATAATATATTTACCCCTAAAATGTATGTGGCCCCATCGAAAGATTTACTTTAAGGATATCACTGAAGTCCAGTGTAAAGTTTCAATTTTAATTCAGAATTTGTATTCTACATGACTGTTCTGAATTTTTAAAGAGTATGATGTATATTGGTAAAAGCATCATTATACATTTCTGAAAAAAAAAAGCTATTTGAGAATTCAAATTGTGCTTAACTGTGTTTGCACCCTTTATCTGTATAAAATTAGTATGCTGATTTCTGAGTCTTATCCAATCTTTAAGTCCAAGGAGCTTTTTCTTAGTACCCAGTTCACACATATACTTAGAGTAATAAACATTTTAAAAGCCCAAGGATTTGGAATATAAAATATATCAGAGAGCTCTGGCAAGTTTATAACCCACCTCATCTCTTTTTTTTTTCAGCACGCAGAGCAAAAATGCTAACACATGCAGGCTTCATCTCCTTTCTCCTTTTGACCCAGAATGCCTCTGCTCTTTACATTTCTATTTCTGTCTGAGGTCTTAATGTTTTTATTTTCTTTCAAATTTTCCTCTTTTTTAAAGTAGCAAAAATGTCCTTTCTTTGACTCTTCTCTCCATCTGAACTTTCACTGTTTTACATTCAAGGCTCAAGCGTTAGCCTGCCTAATTCCACATAAACTCAGCTACTCTGACTAAATGCACCATAATTTTTCTTTGGTATATCCCATCTTCACAAGTTTTATTGTTTATCTCTGTTCTTAAAATCAGAAGACCATTAATGGAAAACAATAGTATAATTCATAATATATTATTAAATAAACATATATAATATTATATACAAATATATAATATTAAATATATAAATAAGTATATAAAATATAATAATATAAATATAATATTTATAATAATATAAAGTCCTTTTCCTTCCAAAATTTTAAAATGGCAATAAGTATGTTAGTACTATAATAAACATCTGTGTTTAGAATAAAATATAGTGAGGCTTCTTTACAGACTTTGAAGTTCCCCAAATTATCTTACCATCAATATCCAGTAGTTTGCAAACACCCTTATTAAATTTTGTTAGCAATTTGAGAGAAATGTTACAAATAATGGTAAACTGTCTGTTATAGGAATTTAAATTCATGAAATTTCTGGTTTGTTTTTCTTGACACTTTCTCAAGGAGCAGACTGATATAGCACTGCTCCCCATGATCCCCAAGAAAAAGGAAACAAATGAGGGAAGTCCTATGATCTCCCTGGGTTTTTAATTGGAGGCATTTCTGGACTATGGCACGGGAAGGGGAAAACCAAACAAAGCCTGGTAGTCTATTGAGCTGAACAGAGAACAGAGTTCAGAGAAACTGAAGGACCTAGAATTCGTGTGGCACAGTACTGAAGATGTGGAAAGTATGTAGAGAAAGAGCTCTAGAAATATGCATAGGAGTCTCCTTAAATCTTTAACTGAATACCAGTCAAACCCCATCAGGCCAGGCAAATGAACAATTTCCAGGAAGCTATAAACCTAACTATTCCTAAAGATTACACAAATTCCCACCAGCCAGACTAGAGAGTGTTTACCAAATATCTGAGACTTTCAGTAGGGATGTCAGAAGGGTGATGCCTTGGAAATGAGGCCTAATTAATCCTAGAGTTAAGATTTATTTAGACTTGCTCTAAAACAGATTAAAAACGAGCCTCCAAAGGATCAAACTAATTCACAAATAATTTAACTGCATCCAAGAGAAAGTCCAAAACTCTTTAAAGGAACTGAAAACATTCAGAATGCAATGACATAAAATCGCAATGTTGATCATCCAATCAAAAATTACTCAATACATAAAGAAGCAGGAAAATGACAGAGATGATGTAATTAGCAGACAGGATGTTAAAACAACTATTACAAATATGTTCACTATTTAATATAAATATTAAAAATATGTTAAAGAAAAACATCAACATGATGAGGAGAGAAATAGAAGGTATTAAGCAGAACCAAATAGAACTTTTGGAGATGAAAAATAAAATATCTGAAATAAAATTTTATTGAATGAGATTAATAGAAGAAAAAGCATTCTGGAGAAAAAAGTCAGCAAACCCAAAGACAAAGCAACAGAAACCATCTACTACAGACTAAATGTTTGTGTCTCCTCTAGATCCATATGTTGAAATCTTAATTCCCATGGTAATAGTATTAGGAGGTGGGGCCTTCAGGAGGCAGAGTCTTCATAAATGAGATGAGGGCACTCATAAAACAGAACCCCCAGATACCCCTCCATCCTTCCACTCTGTAAAGTTATAAGGAGAGGGTGCCGTCTATGAACCAATTGGCCTTCATAAGACAACGAATCTGTCAGTGCCTTGATCTTGGATTTCCCAGCTTTAGAACTGTGATATATAAATTTCTGTTGTTCTGTAATAAATCTTCTGTTGCCACCCGGTCTATGGTATTTTGTTACAGCAGCTCCAATGGACTAAGACACCATATAAAATGAAACACAGAAATGTGTATAAATTAAATTTAAAAATATGTGTATATACATACACCACACACACATATTAAGACTAAGAAACAAAAAAATGAAAAACCAGCACAGCCTATGGCAATATCGAGCAGTCTAAAACATATATAGTTCAAGTTATAGGGACGAAAAAGGGGTATACAAAGTATTTGAAAGAAAAATGGCCAAAAAATTTCCAAATTAGACAAAAACACTGAAAACCAGTGATAAAGAAGGAATCTTAAAAGTAGTCAGTGGGGAAAAATGACATCATGTGTACAGAGAAAAAAGGGTAAGATTACAGCGCACATTGTCTCAGCAAATCACCTTAGAAACTATTCAGGCAAAAAAAACAATGGAGTGTCATCTTTAAAGTACTGGAAGAAACTGTCAACTTACATTTCTATACCCAGTGAAATAGTTTCCAAAAATGAGGGTAAAACAAAAACTTTTTAAAGTGGTTATTTTTTTTTAAAGATTTTATTTATTTATTTGTCAGAGAGAGAGAGAGCTCACAAGCAGGCGGAGGGAGAAGCAGACTCCTGGCTGAGCAAGGAGCCCAATGCCGGACTCGATCCCAGGACCCTGGGATCATGACCTGAGTCCAAGGCAGACACTTAATGACTGAGCCACCCAGGCATCCCAAACAAAGACTTTTTTAGACAAAGAAAAGTTGAGAGAATTCATTGCCATCAGACACACATTACAAGAAATGCTAACAGAGGTTCTTCAGGCAGAAGGAAAATGATAACAGATAGAAACCTGAATCTACAGAGAAGATGAATTACATCAGTAGTGGCAAATACGAGGGTGAATATGAAAAGTCATTTTCCTCACTTTAAGATTTCTTTATAAAACATTCGCTTATTATAGCAAAAATGATATTAACCAACTATGGGGCTTATAACATATGTAGAAGTAAAAAATGAGGCCAACAATAGCCCAAAGTATGGGAGGGGATAAAATAGGACATACTGTTTTAAGGGTCTTGGATTATAATGCAGTGTCATAATAGTAAGTTAAAGATGTACAATTGTAAATCCAAGGGCAAACACTAAACAAACAAGAACAGTTTAAAAAACTCCATAAAGGTATAAATAATAAGCCAAGAGTGGAGATAAAAATGTAATAGTAAAGATACTCAATTAGTCCAAAAGAAGTCAGAAGAGGGAGAAAAAAGAACAAACGGGCAAACAGCAAGTAAGGAGAGAAGAAATGTCATGACTATATTGGAAAATGGTGCCAAAAAGATGGAGAAATAATAGCATTTCTATTTGGGCATGGACAAGATCCAATTTTTTTTTTTAAAAGGAAGATAAAATGATGAAGTAAAAGATCAGAGAATCACTGCAGCAGTAACCTTGAGAAGGCAGAGGGACAGATGGTCTGCAGTACCCAGGCACAGACGTTGACCTTTGATGGAAACACAAACCGTTCATTCATAGGAATGAAAGAAAAGGCAGATTATGTGAGCAGATTCAGGAAGGTGGGTAGATGTGACAGTGGGAGCTTATGAAAGTTCTCTGTGGGTGCTTCATTGTTCCAAGTGAACTAGGAAACAAAATAAACAGCTGAGCTTGAGAACAGGGGAAGGAGCACTGGAAAGATGCGAATTCTGAATTCAGTTGCATACCTGAAACGTACCTTCCTATGGTCTCTATCCCATGATCTCACATACTTGAGCAAGTCATTGTTTCTTATACTCTAAATGAGCAACTAAATGTGGTGTTTCAAATGGTGCCACATGGGAGAGTGAATAAGAAGATTATTTCCAAGAAGTCTGCCTAAGAGAATGTCTTCTCAGATTCCTTAAGTAATATAATAGAGGATATGCATTGAATGCAGGGAGGATCCTATTTGGATGCTCCATTTCATTACAGGTCTCAGTGTAAAAGAGGACTAATGATTTTAAAATAGTAACTTTCCAGAAATTACCTCAGATGTTGGTGAATATTATATCCAAGAGAATTAAGAATCCCTTCTTCTAAAGCCAAAGATTCTAGGAGAAAGGCTGTGTGCTTAATCTGGCCTGCCTGACCTCAGGGAAGTTTGCCTGGAATTAATTTTTTTTAAGCAAAAAGCATTTTTACCTAATTGGTAGAACGGAACTGTAAGTCTAACCATTTGTCCTCGCCTATCCCAAACAGGAGACAGGCCAGCAGTAGATTGGGATCAGTGCAGCTGAAGTTGTGGGTAATTATTATTAGCTGTATACTTATTTCCACGCACAAAAAATTTATCACCAAACTAAATTATTTTGATTATTGCAAAAAGGCAACAGATATTAAGAAAAGTCATTACGTGCCCATGACTTCCATTTGCATTACATCTAATAACCATGCATCAAACTTGATCTTCTTGGCTTTTTGTCAATAAAAAGATTAATGCAGAATGTTCATATGCTGATCCGGAGGTCTATTAAAAGAAATCTTCCTATTCTGATTGCTTTCTTGGCTCATTCCTGCTGGGTCTTCCTTGAACTTTACATGAAAAAACATAGCCTAGTTTGAAATTATTTTCATTTAATCAAGTAAATAAATTGAAGTCAAAATCTACCTAGGAAGGTGATCTTATCCCTGAGACTGTCCCAGGTATAAATAGGTGGCCAGGAGCATGAATTTTTGTTTGACCTTTTCTTTAGGAATTATACCGATTCCAAATTATCTCTTGGAGGCAGGTCCTGTTATTATCTCTATTGCAGGTAAGCAAACTGAGGCATACAGCTGTCAAGGGGCCATCTGACTAGGACAAGAAAACTGTTACCCTGATAACTCCTGGATGTACTGCTGCATGAGGAAGATTCAGAAAGCATCCATAAGGATACGAAGGAGGATGCTGAACTGGGCAGAGATGTTCAGGATTTCAGAACTATAAAAATCAACTGGGGGAAAAACAACAATCAATCAGTGGAGCAGGTATTGCTTTTGAATAACCACAATTAGAGACTAATAGAGCAAGCTATGTTTCAATTTTATATCAGTATAAAATACACCTGCTTCTAAGCCACCAATCTGAAAAATGCCACTCATTAAAAATAGTAACTAGCAGGGGCACCTGGGTGGCGCAGTTGGTTAGGTGCCAGACTCTTGGTTTCTGCTCAGGTCATGAGCTCAGGGTAGTGAGATCGAGCCCCTCCTCAGACTTACCTTGGAGCCTTAAGACTCTCCCTCTCCCTTTCCCCTCTGCCCCTGTCCCCTGCACTCACTCTCTCTAAAAATACATAAATCTTAAAAAAAAAAAAAAAAGTAGCTAGCAAAGTAATAAATCAGAATACTTGCTTACCTGCAGTATAATTTCAAAGGTTATATTACATTTTTTATGTAACTTTTATATGTTTAATTATCAAATTAGTGTACACTCTACTTTAATATAAAAACGGTAATTAAAAAATATATTGACTAGATAATCAAATGTTAAGTATTATTCCCCTTACAAGTTTGGTTTGTAAGGTGCTAGTAATGATAGAAAATGAGACATTATTTTAATAAAAAATATTGGCATCTAAAATTAATGGGTAATACATAATTACTTGCAGATGAGAACCAAGAATCCTACTGAAGTAATAAATCACCAAAATGTTAACGCTAAAGAAATTTCTACGTTAAAATTAATTTTTAGAAATGGAAATTGTGCTTTATCAAATTACAATGTTTTCAGCAATATCTAGCATATATATTCATTTAACTCATCGGCAGAATCCTAGGGGGAAGCACATAAAAATGTAACTCTGGTACTTGGAAGATGTATGAAAAATTTTGCAAGAAGGGGAAAGGAACATCATGGGTTACACGCAGGCCTGCGGTTTGTTTCCCAAAGGATTACCTCTGAGACCTTGAACTGGCAATCAGATTCCTCACGGCGACCTGGATAGCCTAGTACTTTCTAAGTGAATTCTAATACTCCTATTTCATCAGGTTCTCACTATTTTCCCTGTTTAATAATTTCTTTTAAACTCAGGGCTCGCTGGTGTTTGCCTTATTTGCAAATATTTGTGGCACTGAAAATTTGGCCTTCCTTTTGTAGTAAAATAGGTAGAGGATCGGAGTCAGAGCAAAACACAGCACAACGGAAATGTTTGCCGGAGGCTGAAAGGTAAGACCCAGGAGCGGAGGCTACGAGGCGACCCAGTGTCTCCGGCTGCAACTCCTCGGGTCTGCAGGGGGCCGCCGGGCCGGCAGCACACCGCCAGCTCCCCAAGCACCCACGGCGGGCGGCCTGCGTGGGAACACCTGCGAGCTCCAGGACTGAAGCTTCCAGATGCCGGCTCGACAGGGCTGCCCTGGGAGGGGAAAGCCCCCGCCAGCCGACTCTGCCACCGCGAGGGCGCAACGCGGCGCCGGCCGGCGGAAGGACGCCTCGCAGGGAGTTGGCGGCGGGAACGCCCGCGGGACCCGGAAGTGCCGCGGCGGCCGCCGGAAGTGCCGCCTCAGCCCTCCGCACCCCGGGCGCGTCGGGCCTCTGCCCGCCGAGCCGCCCAGTGCCCACCTCCGCACGCACCTGAGTTCGCCGCGCGGGCCTCTCCGCGGTCGGAGAACGGGGACCCGGGACCTGCGGCCGGGCGGCCGGGAGCGGAGCGGCGGACGGCGGACAGCAGCCCGGAGCCCGCGGGTCCCCACCTTCGGCCCCGCGGCCCGCCGCGTCCTGACCCAGAGAGCGGAGGCGCCGGGGGAGGAGCCCGCGGCCGCTCGCCCTACGGCTCCCGCCTCTTCCCGCGGGGGTTCGACAGACCCGGGCCGGCGCCCGGCGCACCTTTTCCAGAAGGAGAATGCGCTCCGCCGGCGCTTCGGCCCGCACCGCATATTGTTGCCGGGCTGCCGCCGTCCCTCCAAGCCCGTCTCCCCCGGGCGCCCGGCCCAGCGCGTTCGTCCCATCACTGCAGCTCCCCAAACCCGCCTGCCCCTGGCTCGCTCCCGCGTCCACTCACCCCTCGCCCTGTATACCCTTCTTTGTTTGCCCTCCTAGGCACAACCTTGAAGTTTGATCTGCATTACAGGGTAGCGCAGACGTCTTACACTAATAAGTAATCGTGTCCGAAACCACGTTTCTTAACTTTAACTCAGGTTCCATCTTAATGACTAAAATCCCCAACCTCTTCATACCCCCACCATTCTGAGTTGCTTTTAGCTGAAAACCACAGGCTTCTCAGATCCCTAACATAAGAGATTTCACCCAACTTCACTTTTCTGTGGGTTGTACGATGAAAACAAACTGCCAAACAAAAACACTCTTTCTGTATTGCCCCCACTTTGAGCTTTACATTTAGGCTTGCAGAGAACTTAGTCTTGATTACTAAATTCCCCACCAATGTACTGAATGGGATTAAAAACGGATCACTCCTATTTATCAAAAAAAAAAAAAAAAATCTTGCTCTACGAAAAATTAAAAAGCTTATTTTATCATCTATACAATGCTATTTGCTGATGGGGATTCTATAGGATCCTTGAGACTATAAGATGTTTTTGAGTTTTAAGCAAGCTGCATTAAAGAATTAAGCCTAGCCATAGCGACAGTCATTTTATTAAAACAAAGTTATATTTTGGAAGACAGCAGGCTAACACTTCTAAGATTTGAAACTAGCTAGAAGAGCACCCCATTCCAAAAACCACTTTGACTCTTATTTTACGGTTTGCAAGGATATTACAATATAATGCTAATATTTGTTTTGTTTGACCAGGATACAATCTACTGTAAACGTGTTATGCAGGGTGATCATAGGGTTTTTTGTTTTTGTTTTTTTAAATAAGATTTGGATACAAATATGATTTGGATACTGTCTCTTCTATAATACTTAAAAAGCTTAAAGCACCTTGCGATTAAAGCTTTTCCAGAAGCAGCCCACTGAGTTGTTCACTGCTATGTCCTCAGTGCACAGCACAGAAGAGATCCTCAATAAAAATAGGGAGTGTGAGCTAAGAACAAGGCCTTACCAACTCTTTGCTCCAAAAGGAAGATGGCAGCTGGTACTGACTTGTTCTTCAAGTCCAGGAAGTAGGGTAAGATAGCCGGACTCCTGTACGCCTACATAACATCGGTCCCTCTCCCTGCTGCCAGTATTGTTGATTCTGTTCCTTGCTCAGTAAAAATTATCTGAGAGGTAGAAACTGAGATAGTGGTAGCCATTGACGTTTGGTAAAGTTAAAACTAAACAGCCCAGAGAGGAGCAACCCTTGCCAGGTACTGTTGTAGGGCTAACCTAAAAAAGAAGAAATGACTCCCCCACCCTTGCTCGAGTGTAGCATCAAAGGAACTACTAAAGGGGGGGGCGTGGAAAACAACCATTAGGAGTTTCAAAGTTTCTGTTTGCCATAGACAAATGTTTGTGTTCCTCCAAAGTTCATATACTTAAACCCTAATCCCCAAAGTGATGCAATTTGGAGGCAGGGCCTTTGGCAGATAATTTGGTTACAAGGTTGGAGCCCTGTGAATAGGATTATTGCTCTTATAAGAAGACTAAGAGGCCAGAGCTGTCTTTTTCTACCATGTGAGGATACAGTGAGAAGCCAGCTGTCTGCAACCTGGAGAAGGACTCTTACCAGAACCCAACTACCCTGGCACCACGATCTTGGATTTCCAGCCTCCAGGGCTGTGAGAAATAAGTGTCATTTAAGCCCCCCAGCCTATGGGAATTTGTTATGGCAGCTGGAACTGATTAAGACACTTTTCTCCAACACAACTAGCACAGTGCTACAATGATCTGGCCCTTCACAATTTGTCCTCACCTGCTTCTCCAGCTTTTCCCTACTAGGCATCATCCTATACTTCAGCTATAGCCAAACTGCCTTATCATCTTTCCATAAGCCATAAGCTCTTCAGGCTGCTCTCTGTGCCTAGAATGCCCTACTGTTTACCGCTTGTCAAAAACCAATTCATCCAGTTTCATCTGCTTCCCTTGAGAAGCTACTCTGTACTCTCCTCCCCAAAAGATGTATCCATCCATGCCCCCATCAAAACTTTTGTGGAAAGATAATGATTAAACAAACACAAAACCCCTCCCTTCTGCCTTGCAGACGCCTCTCTCTTGTACATTGTGTTATTACTGCTTGGTCAGTGACTATCGGGTCTTTGAGATTGGGACCCTCTTCAAGGCAAGGATGTATCTAGCTTGGTATCCTCAGTGCGTGGCACAGTGCACATACTCAATGTTAAATAAATATTTTGAAAAAAAATGTTTTGAAAGTAATATGTATAGTCAAGAGAAAAGCATTAAGAACTTTGTAGTCCTTCCTGTGGTAAAGCATGTGTTATGGGTTTATCAGGGTTTTTTTGTTTTGTTTTGTTTTATTTTTTCATTTCTTGGGTTTTATCTAAGTGGTTTTGTTTCCAGGAAGCAACTGAATGACCAAGTTGGTTTTAGCCCTGTAACAGTTATCAATCTACTCTATAGTTAACTATTCTTATATTTCCTTGTATAATTATTTCCAAATCTTTTTATCACCTATCAACTTACTCAGGGAACAGACCATTAAAGGCAAAGAAACTGTTTAGTTAGAAGGCAATCAAGGGTTTTGTCTCCATTTCCTTGAGAAGCTATACTCTTATTTTGTTCTAGAAATTTCATCTGGATTTTACTTTAAGGCTCAGGAATTGGTGATGGTCAGATATTGCCATTTACATTCCAATCTATTATATTTTTGCTCTTGGAGTGTTCTAATTTACAACCTGAATTTCTGTGAACTGTAGGTTGAGCTGTAAATATAATAAGTGCCACCATGTCACCACCAACTCCTACCTCAAAACAGCAACACCTACCTTCTTCTCCAGGCCGGAGTCAAGGAAGTATTTTGTTGCTAAATAACTGAAGACATTATTTTAAAATTAAGAACACACCCACCATGAAGAGAGAGAGGGGTCCATGGCTGGCTGCACAAAGAGCAACATGGAGGAGCCAGTCAGCACAACTGAAGCTCCAAGTTTCCCAAATCAGACCTGGAGACCAGAGGAGAGCCAACAGCAACAACGGCCACAGCAAAAGTACTGATTGCGTCTTACACTCCATTCCTGCTTCCTTCTTCAGATGTGAATCCTCTTATTCCATTGTCCCAGCAGTCCAGCGAGACAAGTAATGTTTCGGGTAGGGAAGCGGACGCTTGCCGAGGTGAAGAAACTTGGCCCCAGTCACATAGTCAGTTTTAGAGGCAATAATCAAACCTAGCTTTGTCTGCGAGCTTTTCCTCTCAACCACACCCTGTGAGGCCGGCCATCCTGATGCGTGATAGAACATTCGAAGGAGGCTCATCAGAACACCTCTCATAAGCACATCCCAGAAGTCTGCAGGTGATATTGTCCTGTCTGCATCTCCCAAGTCAGTTAATAATGGGGTTCAGCCTTGACTGCTCCTCTTACAAGAGGGCCTGAATATCCAGATCAGAGTACTCTACCCCATGGGGAGCGTCTCTCGAGGGGTTAACCATTATCTTTAAGCCACAAGGTACATACAGAATTATGGTGGATCTAGCATGTTCAGGTTAGGCTAGGAATAGACTTGGGGAAAAGAGGAAAAGTAATACTGTGTCTAATGCAAGTGGGGTGTTTGGGGGGCATTTTTACTTTTAGGGGACCCCCAGAACATAAGAAAATTACCCCCCCAAATTATGAAATTACTCTGAGATTACTATGACTAAATTGGACCTTCCGAGGGAAAAATGCTTTCTTTGGAAAAGGCATAAGAGTAAGTTTATTAACTGTTTCCACAAGAGTAAGTAATTAGTGAATAAGCTATTAATCACTTAAATACAATACAATAGTTGATCCAGTATTCCTGTGCTGAATAAAACTTAAATGGTGTTTTAGAAAAATACATAGGAAAGAAAAATTAGCAACAATATTTATGTAATACTACTTAGCAATCCAATGTTGAAACCATTTATTAAAAATATGATGACATCATTGAAATATGGAATTCTTATTAGAAACTTCCTGTTTGGCTAGAAAAATTAAGTTTTTGTTCAGTGAAGAAACAGTCATTTTCAGAAAGGCATATACTTTGCCTGATTGATACCAACCTTGCTTGATGATCAGCAGTTTTTCTGGGACACTTGAAGATAGGAATGAAATTTCTTCAGTAATTGCAGAAGGCTTTTTAAGTCACATTCTTACTCTGGTTTCCTGTAGACAGCCTGTTCAAAGCACAGCCTTGGATAAACTTGAAAATGGAACTCAACAGATTCAGAGTAAAGAGGAATCTTGCCCCTCCCTTCTGCATGTTTTCTTCATCTTGAGAGAAAATGTTCAGGGACATTCTTGATGATTTGTATGTCAACTTCACAAGCCAAGGTCAGTTTCCTTGTGGCAGTTCAAAATAAAGTCAAATGTTCATCAGTTAGGCAAAATATTGTTACAATACATGTATGTACAAATTAGGTAAAATACCAGGATAGTTTCAATTATACATAAGTAGAACAAAAGATTTCATTTTGAACTTGGGTAGTAACTCAATTTTGTAAAAGGTTCTGCTGGGGAAAATTTAGGTTAGCAGTTTCCCAGACCCACTATCCTCAGACTACATAAAGACAAGTTATTTTCTCCTTCGGAGCAGATCTCTTTCAAAAAATTGTTCAGTAGAGACAGCCTCTTGTATGCAAATAAATCTATAGGAAGAATCCCCTCTTGTGCCCCAACAGAGACACATTAATTCACCAACCATTGTTACAACTTTTTCCATTTTATAAACTTTAGACTCCCATCATTACACTTAAGACACATAGAAAAGTGAATCTAGAAAAAGAAGAAAATTGAAACTCACCACTGTAATGATTTTAGAAGAAAGCTTGCCTCATAAAGCAAGTGACTAACCCAGAGGTATTAGGATCCAAAATAATTATAGTTTGTTTGGAACTTGGAATATATCTTATGAAAATCATGCTATAAATTGTGATTTGTTTTCTAGGTAACCCCATAAAATCCTTCATAATCTATACGAAAACATACTATATGTTTCAGCTGAATTCTCACTCAGAACTGTTGATTTCAGGATATCACCTATCTATA